TAACCGAACAATTAGCCCAAGAAAAAAAGCAAAAAGAGCAACTTTCAGACAAATTAAAGAGTGCGGAAACAGACTTACAAATAGAAAGAGATGCTAAAAATTTTATTCAGCAAAAACTCAACCAGGAAAAGTCTACTAATTCTAATTTTCAAAATCAAATCAACCAATTAACCCAAGATAAAAATTAACACAACAATCATTCTGCTTTTTTTCCTCCTCCTCTTCGCCCTCGCTTTATTCCACAAAAAAATCCAAGCTTTTTTAAAAAACAGACAAAAACCCTTAACTAATAACTAACCTCCCTCCTTTTATTTTTTTGGCAAAATGTTCTAAATAATATTATAATATGGCACAGAAAGCAAGTTCTTCTTACATAATTCGGGTAGGTCGTAGCCAAGTTTGAAATAACTATGATTTTCCAATTAATAAGAAAGAGCAAGTTAACAACTTAAAAAAAGTTAAATTAATTCGGGGTTATCTTTATCGTCTTTTCCCTGATATCGCTCAGTTGCGAACCGAGATTAATCGTAATAATATCCATATTTATCTTTCTATTCCAGAAATTAACTTGGTTTTAGGTGAAGACGGCAAAAATGCGACGAAAATAGTCAAGGAACTAAACCGCCTTATTAACGATGACAAAGTTAGTCTGCATTTCAATTTAATTGAAGTAAAGAATGTTTATGCTAACGCTCAGGCTGTGGCTAATTTAATGGCCAGTCAGATTAAAAAGCGTTTACCTATCCGCCAAATTTTTCGCAATTTGATTAGCAAGATTAAGTTATCGACCGAAAAATTCCGGGAGAAAATTAAAGGTGGAAGTTTTGAAGTTCGGGGTATTTTAGATGATTCGGGTATTGCCCAAACCAAAAAAGAAAAGTGGGGAAAACTCCCTTTAAGCACTATCGATAGTAATATTGAAATCGGTCGGCAAGAAGCCATTATTCCTCGTGGAAAAGTGGGGATTAAAATAATACTTTACAAAGGAAAAATTTGGCAAAAAAAGAAATCAATAAACCAATCTGCTAAACTTGCTAATGAGCCAGTTCAACGAGAGAAACAAGCGATTTAAAAACTCTCTTCTTCGCTTTCCTTTTCGAAGAAAATTTTTCGGGTTAACCAACGAACTAAGTAGTAGGTAACTAAATAGATAATTCCGAAAGCGAAAACTATATCAAAAAGAATCCAGAAAGAAAGAGCTTTTTTGTCTTCAGGAGAGGTTCAATTATCAAGGTCTCTCAATGGTGTAAGAGGAAAAAACAATTTTCCTAGCCGTGAATGTCTGGCTTTTTTTCTAACTTTGCTAACTTCCGTGGCTGTAACTTGAAAAAAATTACAACTAGAATGATGATTATCATCAAGTCTGCGTCCTCTTCCTGGAAAACTCCCAGAAGAACTTGAAGAACCACCTTTTTCTCCCCCCAATGACTTAATCAAGGTTCAAATGCCACGGGGGCTCAGGTCAAAAAGTATATAAATAAAGAGGAAAGTTAAAGAAAGAGATAGTAAAAAATTAAAAAGTCAGAGTAATTTTTCTTTGCGTTTTTGTGCCTTTTTTGTTGGTAGGATTTTTCCGGAAACGTTCATAGCGACTTACAATTACTATTATGTTATACACTATTTTTTTCTTGCTAGAAATTTTTCTGCATAATTTACAATTTATTAAAAAGATAAATTCATATTAGATTATGATAAATTACTCCATTTCAATTTTTTTAGAATATAAACAAGCAGACATTAGGTATAAAAAAACAAAAAATATTACAAGGTTCATAACTAGTGACAGTTTAATTTGCTTAGAACTTAGCCTTTAAGGAAAATTAGGAAAAAAAATACTGTCATCTGGTTTTTACGCTGTAATAATTAATTTCCACTTTTTTCATCTTACTAAATTGTGGTTTTGCGAGTGATTGTTATTTTTATTATACTCCCCATTTCATTAAGGATATTATTATAACACACAGCAAAGATTAAACGTTCAATATAAAAAAAATTAATAATTAAAGTGCTTAAACTAACATTTCATGGAAAGGAGAAAAATACGAATTAACCGAGAAACTTCACAAAGAAAATGATTATTATGATTATTAGTCAGAGGAATTCCGCTTTTGCTTCTGGTGCTGGGGGTGGTTCTGATTTTCTATGGTCACAAGATTAGCATCCGTGATTTATGTAATTTTATTTTCCTTCTGTATATTGTGTTGCAAATTCTGTCGCTCGATACGGAAAAACTGCGTTCATTAATGGAACTTTTGGGAATCGAAGAAAGACACTCAGTAATTAGTGAGAATATTGGTTTGCGGTTTAAAGATGTGGGGGGATTACACGAAGCCAAGGAAGAATTACAAGAAGTCGTGGCTTTCTTCCGTAATCCCCAATTTTTTCGGCGGAGTGGTATCAAATTGCCCAAAGGAATTCTACTGGTGGGACCGCACGGAACGGGTAAAACCTTACTAGCCAAAGCCTTGGCTGGCGAGTGTGGTTTGCCTTTTTTGTTCCGCTCGGGTTCGGAGTTTGAAGAAATGTTGGTAGGGGTTGGTGCCCGGCGGGTGCGGGAACTTTTTCAGGAAGCCCGACATTACCCCCAAGGTTGTATCGTTTTCATTGACGAAATCGATTCGATTGGCAAAAAGCGGGGCACACCGAATAGTAATGATTTAACGCTCAACCAGTTATTAAATGAATTGGACGGTTTTCAGCCACGGGAAAATATTTTTCTTATCGCAGCGACCAACTTTCCGCAAACTCTAGATAGTGCTTTATTACGACCCGGGCGGTTTGACCGGCAAATATATATCCCGTTGCCTAATCTCCAAGCCCGGCGAGAAATTATTAAACTAGCTGCTCCCAAAATTCCTTTCCGATCGGATGTGGACTTGGAAGAATTAGCCGCTTTAACTCGGGGTCTTAGCGGAGCACAAATAGTTAACTTGTTTAATGAAGCAGCTTTGTTAAGTTTACGTCTCGGTCAGCCAAAAATCAGTGCTGACTTGATTTTTGAGGCTTATGACCGAGTGCTTATGGGTCCGTCCTCAACTAGCAACGTTATTTCCCCCCGCAAGCGGAGAATAACGGCTTTTCACGAGGCGGGCCATGCACTGGTCGGGTTGAGTTTACCCGAGACCAGCGTCAAAAAAATCACCATTGTCCCCCGTTGGTTGGCCGGTGGCTACACTTGAATTGCTTTACGTGACGAAAGCGATGATAACTATAACGTCAGCAAGAACCAAATTTTAGCCCAAGTGGCCGCGGCTTTGGGTGGACGGGCCAGCGAAGAACTAATTTTTGGCACCGGACACATTACCGCCGGAGCCGCCCAAGATTTTAAAAATGCTTCTCAACTAATCAAAGATTTTATTTACCATTATGGCATGTCAACCTTAGGAATTGTCCCTGCCCCGGAACCTTTTTTGGCCGGAGAGGAAATTTTCGAACAATTACCCGAAAAAAGCAAAGAAAAAATTGCTAACGAACGCGAAGAAATATTGCGTTGAGGGTGACAAAAAGTTCGCACCATTTTACGGCAAAAAAAAAATATTTTGGTTTTATTGGCCGAAATACTTTTGACCCACAACTCCTTAAACCAAGAGGAAATTAATTACATTTTCGTTAACCAAACTTCCCCATTTATCCCCCTTCTTCCTCATGCCCCACTCAAAAAAAAATAACGCTCCACAAATTTACGAACTCTGGCACCAATACGACCAGTTTGTCCGTTCGTTACACCAAGCTCCCCTTCGAAGCCAAAAAGTTAATTACCGGCGGATTGTCCGCCAATTTCTTCGTAAATTGCTCGTAGTTGCCGCCGGGGCTTTTTTTACTACTTTGGCTTTTTATTTTTTAATGGACCCTCTACGGATTTATAATCCCGGCTTGAACGGCTTATTAAAAAAAATAACCCAATATTTTCCATGAGCTAATGCTGTTGGTTCTCTTTCTTACTACTTAACTTATTACACCACAAATTTAATTATTAATTCCCTTATTGTCTTTGTTTTGTGATCTCGGTATGAAGGCAAATTAGAGATAATTGGTACGGCCCCTTTTTATGTCTTATTCCAAATGTTTTGAACTTTTATTTTCTTCCTTCTGGGTTTAGAAAACATTATTGTTGATAATATTAGCCGGCAACAATTACCTGAGTTTCCTTGATTAGTTACTTTGCCTTGTTATTTAATCATTGCTATGGTTGCCGCGGCCGTTCATACTTACGGCTATAGCCTGATTTTTCGGGTGCAAGCGGCCGCTGGTGGGTTTGAAACTATAATTATTCATTTAACCACCCAGAAAGAGGAAAAAACTCTTTTCTGGAAATGAACTAATAAAATTTTTGGTTACGGGGTGCTTTTTTTTCTTTCTGGCAGCGATTTTGTCCGGAAAAATCCGTGACAAACGGGAAATATCTTTGCTTACATTAAATACCTTTTTCATAGTGAACGCTTATGAGCCACCATCGCTTATATTTACCTCTCCCCGCGGCTTTTGAGTGCGACTTACCCACAGGAAAAAGAGATTTTCTTACGCATTTATTCGCCTAGCGAAAAAAAACGCACCCAGGCTCTTCGCTTACTAGCCGATTTTTCCCCTATTTATTACAACTCTTACCAAAAAGTATTTGGGGGAGAAGACGTAACCATCTATGTAGCTGAATGTTTTCTTAATGGTTGAGAATATTTTATTCTTCACCCCCAGCTTCGCCGCACCGGCAAAATTTATATCAATGATGTTCACGGCAAGAATTAGGGAAATTATTACCAGTATTAAGGAAACTCCGACTTTTCACCGAGCTTTTATCCACACTTCCTACCAAAATGAGTATAACCTGCCTTCTTCTTACGAAACCTTAGAATTTCTGGGGGATAGTGTGCTCAATGCGGCCACCGCTCTTTTTCTTTACCGTTCTTTTCCGCATTATACCGAGGGACAAATGAGTAAATTGAAACAATTAATGGTCCGTGAAGAAACCTTAGCCTATTTGAGCCAAAAAATTGGTCTAGCCACTTTCTTACGGCTTGGAGCCGTGGAAAAAAGAAATCGCGGCGAGCGAAAAAAAAGTATTCTCGCTGATATATTTGAGTCTTTTTTGGCAGCTTTATATTTGGAGAAAGGTGAGAAGGAAGTCTATGAATTTCTCAGTTTGACTCTTTTTCCTTGGGTTAAAAACAAAGAAAATTTAATTTGGGATTACAAAAGCCAGTTGCAAGAATTTTGTCAAGCCCAAAAAAATAAAGTCGATTATTACGTTCAAGAAATTAAAAAAACGGAAAACCAGCAAATATTTGTTATTCAAGTCCGGGATGAACTTGGAACTTTTCAAGAAACCGGACAAGGCAAAAGCAAAAAGGAAGCCGAACAACAAGCCGCTAACAAAGTCTTGAAAAAACTTGGTCTGAGCGAATTAATAACTTCTTAACCTAGTATTTTCTTTATTAGTAAAAACAAGATACGATTTGGATTTTTACAACTTGTCATAACCTTTTTTTCTTTTGTAATATATTTATCCACTAGGATATGTGCTTGTACCCATCCAAAAAAATTAACATTTTTTAGAAAGCGGAAACAAGAACACTAAATTAGAAAAGGAATTGTTGATAGACCAATAATAGAAGTAGCCAAAACGTAATATCTTTTTCATTTAAGTACCGTCGGTAACATAAAGGCTGCTTGACGACTATGGCGGGGAAATGGGATAGTATTTGGTATGATATAGAAAAAATAAAAATATAATTATGACTGCTCAAAAACTTCCTATTCTGACCATTAGCAATTTTTTTTTATTTCCCAAGCAAGAGGGGTTTCTCACCATCGAGGATAATCAAAATAAAAAAGATTTTTTGCACCAAGTCTGGCAAAAAAGTAACGGGTATTTATTGATTATCCCAGAACTAAATATTACTCCCAAATCGAAAATAAAAACTGCAGAATACTCGGGACGGGGGACCCTGGCCCAAATCGTCCTTAACCTTTCAGCAACAACTAGTCCCGAGGAAGCAATCAATTCTAGCCAAGAAGTTCGGGTACGCGGATTAGAAAGAATAAGATTAGTCGACGTAGCCAAGTCAAAAGGAATTCTGTGGGGAGAATACGAGATTTTGTTCGAAAAAAGATTAAGTGAGAACAAATTAGAAGAATTGAAAGAAAAATTTGTGCGGCATATTCCCGAGGTGGTGGGAAAAGTCAAGATTCCCCAATCCAAATTAACTCTGGGAGTGATAGAGACCCAAAAGGACATTAGTAGTTTTATCGACCTGGTTACTCACAATAGTAAGGAAATCGACGATTTAACCAAGTGGGGAATTTTAGTTTCCGAAAACCCTGAAGAAAGATGAGAATTATTAGTTAATTTCCCTGACAAGAGAAAAATCGACAAGGACCTAGAAGGGCAAATCCGCACCCGTCTCCACAACCAATACCAAAAGTATTACTTACAAGAAAAATTACGGGCCATTAAAAAACAATTAGCCGATTTAGAAGGTGGCTCGAAAGGAACGAAAAGTGGTGCTAAAAATGAAATCCAAAAGTATTTAGAACGATTAGAAAGTGAGCCTTATCCGGAAAGAGTAAAAAAAATAGTGCAAGAAGAAATAGACCGCTACGAAATGATGCCAGCTTACTCGAGCGAAGCTAGTATTATTAGGCAGTATGTTGATTGATTAATGAATCTGCCATGAGGAAAAAGAAGTTTAGAAAGAAGTGATTTGGATTTTGCTCGCCGTAAACTAGACGAAAACCATTATGGTTTAATGGATATTAAGGAAAGAATTATTGAATATTTAGCCGTGCGAAAAAAACTAAAAGAAAGCGGCCAAAAAGAGCAAAAAAAATCGGTGGTCCAAATTATGTGTTTTGTTGGTCCTCCCGGAATAGGAAAAACTTCTTTGGCTCGGTCGATTGCCGAAGCTTTAGGGTTAAAGTTTGCTCATATTTCAGTAGCCGGAATGCGGGATGTGGCTGAAATAAAAGGACATCGCCGCACCTATATTGGAGCTATGCCGGGGCGAATCATCCAATCGGTCAAAAAAGTTGGGGTGGAAAACTTTGTTTTTCTCATTGACGAAATTGATAAAGTTTCTTATGACCATCGGGCTGACCCAATAGATGCTTTATTAGAAGTCTTGGACCCGAACCAAAATTTTGAATTTACTGATGATTATCTGGGTAGTGATGTTCCTTTTGACCTTTCCAAAATCATTTTTATTTGCACGGCTAATAGCACTTGAAATCTACCTCGTCCCTTGCTTGACCGGTTGGAAATAATTCGGCTTCATTCTTATACCGAAATCGAAAAATTTCATATTGGCAAGGAACACCTGATTCCTGAAAATATAGAAAAATACGGCTTGGCTAGTCAGGAAATAAAATTTCAGGACGAAGCCATTAAAGAAATAATAAAATACTACACTCGTGAAACCGGAGTGCGGGAGTTAAATCGCCGAATTCAGGCCGTAATTCGGAAATTTGTGCTCCAAATGGTCGAGAAGAAAAAAACCAGTGTTAACATTACTCCCAAAAACTTGCCTGATTATTTAAAAAAGAAAAATTACGAACATACTCGGAAACAAAAACAAGCTCAAATAGGAGTAGCCACCGGTTTGGTTTGAACCGAAGTAGGAGGTGATATTTTATTAATCGAAGCCAGTTGTTCGCCAGGCAAAGGAGAACTAATTTTGACCGGCAACTTAGGAGACATCATGAAAGAATCCGCCCAAGTGGCTTTGGCTTATGTCAAAGCCAATCACCAAAAATGTTCCATTGACTCTAACATTTTTACTAAAAACGATATCCACATTCATGTTTTAGAAGGAGCCACCCCCAAAGAAGGACCGAGTGCGGGGATTGCTTTAACTTCGGCCATTATTTCCGTTCTGACCGGTCAGACTATTCCGGCAGACATAGGTATGACCGGAGAAATCACTTTACACGGACGGCTTGAAGCTATTGGTGGCTTAAAAGAAAAAGCCATTGCCGCTCACCGCAGTGAATTAAAAAAAATTATTATTCCCAAGGCTAATGAAAAAGACATTGCAGACATTCCTGAAGAAGTTCGGCAAGACCTAAAAATCATTCTAGCAGAAAGTTACGACGAGGCAGCAAAGCAATTATTTATTTCGAAAAAAATATTACCAAAAAAAGGAAAAATGGGAATTAATGCTTTGGAAAAATTAGATTATCAACCCGTAAATCAAAAAAACGATTAGGAGTTAAAGTTTTCATTTTTTTTTGAATTGATAATTATTCACGGTTAAACCAACAATTATCAAGGCCGAAAATATTGTTCCAAACATCAGAACGTTTTTTTTCTGCCCCGCATCCTTAGTTTGTTGCTCTAGTGTTCTAGTAATTTGATTTTCTAATTCTTGGATTTTGTCTTGGCTTGCTTGGAACTCTTGCTCGATTTCGGTCGCCTCTTTCTCTAATTTTGTTATTTCTGCTACTGTTTTTGATGTTTTTCTTCATTATTTCGAAGTTGTTCTTGTAAATTATCTCTTTCGTTGGCTAGTGTTGTGATTGTAGTATCTTTCAAGTTTAATAAATTTTCTCAATTAGTTATTTTCTCGGGCTCGTTTTGGGTTGGTTTTTCTTTGTTTTTCATTCTTGTTTTTTTTCTTCCCCTTCTGGAGCCACTTGCCCTCATTTTTTGTAAAAAGCATCTAAACTCTTCTTTAAACTCTTCTGCTGCTCTTCTTTTTTATTTTCATCTAAATAAACTTTATTACTAGCAATTTCTTTTAATGAAGTATTGTTAATTAATTGACAAAAAATTTTTAATAAATTAATTTGTTGGTTAACGTTTTTTCCCTCCTTAATAACTGCTAAGTGCTTTGCACGGAATTCTTGAAAAATAGGCATGATGCATAAATACTATTTATTGATATAATTTATATTACTTTTTACTTTATTATTTCAAATTGATAATCTGTAAATTTGTTATTTTAAAATGTTTACAGTAAAACTTTGCAAGGGTTTAGTGAACGGAATTTTTGTTAAGACAACCTTAAACCGCAGCAAAAATAAAATTAAACTATGTCCGTTAAAGAACAAAAGAAGAATAAAATCCGTCAAATTCGTAACAAAAAATACCGCTCCCAAGTCAGCCACCAATTAAGAAAAATCACTAGTTATCT